TGGAGGAGCATTATTTATAGCGTGGCAGCTACATGCGTGCGCGTGATCGCGTTAGCGCAACCGACGTACTCGAGGTCGGTCGCGACTGTTTCTGACGCCTGAAATCGTGCGTCTGATAAACGCGACGTGTTGGAACAGCGATATATTGCGATCCACGGCGTCTTCCTTCCAGCTTCTCGTCCGGTGTGAATTTCGTTTGTTTCTTATAAGATTCTCACACGTCCTTTCGCTCCGTAGAGACTCGTAATATAATTCGAGATGGCATTATCGTAAGCAATAATCGTATACGGAATTATTCGGTTTTATAATCACAGACGCGCTCTCTCGGCACCAATGCGCGAGATTCATTTGGCTCCATTGAACCTCTTCTCGTCGTTGTTCTCGGAATTTTTTTTTTCTTGCGTCCCCCCTCTTCTTTCTTCCTTCCAAAGTCGCTCATTAGGATTCATGGAACGATTAGCCCCCTAAAAATCGCGAGCTTTCACTAGCGAACAATGACGCGGCTGATTGGCGAACCGCTTTAGAATTAGAGGTCGAATTTTGCATTGTACCGGACCAGGCGAAACAGCTGCTTCGCTCTCAGACTCTCCTCTCTCCTTGGGAACTTTCCTCGTCGTCATCTTCTTCCTCGCCCCGGCTAACGATTCGTGCAGTTTCGCGATTCAAGGCAGCCCGCCACACTTTTGTGTCGGCCCCGTCGTAGCATACGGCGAACGCGCGGGGTATACATAAATGCAGGAAGTTTTAAATCTGCGAAATAAAAAGTGGAGCGATTCCGAGGCAAGATTTTCAGAGGAGGAGGAAGAAGAAGAATGCTATCAGTAACATCTGTCGCGGCTCGTTACACGATATTGTTTCCTTCTTTCCTACGAGATATTACCGCGAGCTGTACAAAGCTGTGTTTTCCCGCGGTACATTCGATGAGGATTCCTAAAAAATTTGCTTTCGAAGTTATTCGCTCGAGACTGGAGTGTTTGCCGGGAATATCCTCGTTGGTAATAGAAGGCTCGATCGAGCCTTCCTCTCTGAGACGACTCGGTCGGGGCGCGAAAACTCGTTTATGTTGCCGAGGAGATGCGAACACGGCGTCATTCAGTGTGTGCTATCCTCGGACGAAACGGAAGAAAGACGCTCGTTGAACTCTCAATGATTCAGACCAACCTGATACTTAATATTTTCCTGGAAAGAGGTTTATCTTGCGACGTAAAAGAAGGCATTTCAACATGGAAGTGTGCAGCGGGGTGAGTTGAAAGAAAGAGAAGGTGCATTGAACACGGAAATCTCAAATTTCGCTTCTGTTCGCATTTGCTGATCTCGCTCTCTAGGGGCCGTAGAGAAAATCGACTCTCGGACGACGACGACGACGGCGAAACCAGTTCCGACGAAGAATGCGTAAACGGAATATCGGCCAGTCCAGTTAACCTTTCCTCGTCCTGCTGCTGCGCTCGCAAAAAACTTGCGGTCTCTCGTATGCAGTTGGATCTTGCGCGCGTCGATCGAAAATCACGCGTGATGATGCACGCCCATCTATTCGCAACGTTAGAAATTATCGAAATCGCAGGCACGTTCGAAACTACCCGTGTTTTCGTTACGATGAGATTATTCATTCGTAATCCGGAGACTGTTCGTTAAGGTTTGGGCATCGAAATATTTTGAAACACCCTTCCCCCGAGGAAAATAATTAGATAACAACGGTAAAGCAGTTCGCTGCTCAGAATGATCGCGTAACGTCGCAAGATAAGCGTCCACGGTAACCTCGGTGCGTAAGAAGACGGCGACCCAGAATTTCGCGAGAATAAGGTCAACGCACGCGGAACAACGCTAAGGAGGAGCGAGCCAGCGAATTGCACATTTAATCGCGTCTGCCTTTATAAAGTCATACGACGACGAGCCTTCGGTTCTTTGCGAGAACACGTAATAAACTTTAAAGCTGGAAAGACGGCTCGCATGCACTGGGGAGTGCACAGGCCCGCTGCGGCGAGTAGGTGGCTAACCTTGACAACCACTCACGAGCACGCACGCAAGAACAGTCTCTATTGATGACGTTGTTGGTAGTGGTGATGGTAGTTTCCTCGCGTGATGAGCGTTGTAGATGTGTCGTGGTGCAGTGTCGGTTCGCCGGCATATGGGCCAAACACGCTGGCCTGCAGTCGACAATGCAAAAACCGACGACAAACTTCCTCTACAGCTTAGCGTTAGAGATGCATCACCAGTGTTAGGTAACGCTGAATATCGTTTTCTGCTGAATGAATAGACAGAAATATGTTAATAATCGATAGTCAAGTTATTGTATGTATTAATATACTCAAATATCTAATATCTCCTGCGTAAAGCATTTTTTTTTTTTATTCAACGATCTCTCATTTTGACAATCCTTTTACTGACAAATTTTCTCACGGTCTCGTATCCCTCAAGATCCCTCGTTTTGAATATACGAAGTCCTGCTGAGCCGTAGATTGTTCGATCTCTTGTGCGACGATACTTCACGAGTTAGTTCTTTATGCAAATACATAGATAACTCGTCGGCCGGTAATGTTGTTTGCGGTTTTGCAAACACAGGTTTTTTTCGAGCACGAATGTTACAGGCAACGAAGCGGGCGGCAACTTAAAATTGAGCTCTCTCTCTCTCTCTCTCTCTCTCACGAGAACAACGGGCATGCCTAGGATGTTGCCATGGCGAACTTTATCATGGAGGTATCGAAACAGGTGTGGCGCAGGTTGCTCTTCGTGACACGTGTTTCATCCTGTGAGTCCTTTTTCGCTAACCAGTCGCGCGAAGATGCTCTTTAAGTTCGCGCAATATAATGCAAGTATCGGTAATTTTTTTATAAGTTATGAACGTTTTTCGGTTTTTCGTTAGAAGTGCAAAAGAAAAGAAACTGTTGGACTGTACAAACACATCCGAAGAAATACATGCAAATATGTTGTTTGCGTAACGTATGAATATATTTCAATATTTTTTAAATTATTATTAAGGAAAGAGAGAGAGAGCATTTTACGTGTTCGGTAGGAATGCGAAATTGTTAGGAGCAAGTTGGTGGCCCATTGAAAGAGTATTCTTTGTCGTATATTTCCTTGGAACGGTGAGATCGTTTATTGCGAACGAGTGAACGACGTTTTTCTAACAAAATTGTTTATTCTCAGTTTCTAGTAAGTCTCGGATATGAGTAAATATACTATATTTTTCCACCAAACGTGCTACATATTAATGAAGAAACAACTATTTATAAATGTTTTCTTTGAGTGGGAGTACGTAAGATGGAAATATAGCAAGATATTAGGCATATTCGATAAATTTATTATTCTTTATTTTTGTCCATTGTGATAAAAACTAAAGAGAAAGTGACCCTCATGATACCATACACGGCCGGCTAGCGCTCAGTCGCCTTTAGCGCCGTGCATCTCCGAGTAACAACTTTCGTACTTTCGTAATTTTTGGATTATTAATTAAAGAAACCTCTATACACAGTAATTTTTAATAATTCGCAATTTTACGTGTTGTTAGCAAAATGGCTTTTTTCATCTCACTGTGTTGTACGTTCTCACGAGGTTTGTCCCTGTTGGGACACCCTATACATGTGTGTGCCTATCAACTATCGCATATCTAAATATTAGTAGTCGCGGACGAGATACAGGATGCACATATTCTATAATATTATAGGCGCGTTTGCCGAGCTTAGATAGAATGAGGTCTGTCAATTAAACGAGTTTACCGTATTATTCGCGATCGATCTGAGCTCTTATTACTGGACTGAGTTCTCAGCTATTTTCATCGATCGTCCAGATAATCGCGACACACGTAACGCTTATGACGCGACCAAATTGACACCGTGATTACACGGAAAGAAAATCATTTGTTGGAAAATTTTATATCGTTGCAGTAAAATCTATCAGTTACTATGTGGATGGCAAAACGATTTATTTAGAATACTAATTGCTGGATATATTTGCTGAATCTATAAATTGTTTTATTGTATGAACAAATTAGTGAATGTAACAAAACGCTATTTTGTTCCAACAGTAAATTAATGTATCCTATGGGCAAATTCACTCAACGGAATATTTTCTATCCTGGAGAAACAAAACTGTTTCTGCTCAGGTTACAAATAATTTGCTAATTTGGTTATGGCAATAATTACATTTGATAGATGGTTTCGCTACAGCAGCAAAGTTATTTTGTACGATTGCCTGCGTTTGAAAGGTCATTTTGCATTCGTCATCACGGTGCAATCTAAATGCGTTTGAAAAACCCGAAATCGTGAAAGATATTAATGACGATTCTCTCTCTCTCTCTCTCTCTCTCCTTCGGAGAGAAAGGTAAAAAAAAAAGTCTCCAATCGAACCGTCCTCACACGCGTTCCTACATACAAGTATACACACGCTTGCGCGCACCTCTTTATCGTATTCCCTATTATCCGCACGCTCGCTCGCTCCGCCGGCGCAAATTTCGGTCACACCTGGTAGAATCCCCATGCAAGAGGAGGGCTCGCGCGCACGCTCAACATTGCAAAACGCGCCGTGCAAGCCCTCCTACTCGTCTATCCCTCAAGTCTCTCCCTTCTCTCACTCTTTTCCCTACCACTTCAAAGCGGCGCTTCCCTCCCTCCGGGCCCCTGATGGTGGGGTCGCGGGAAAGGAGGTAGTCGACTCTCCCGTTTCGGCCGTGCACTAGAACTTGACTCCTAAGCTCCACAGTGGCGGCGCAAGCTCTATCTTTCCACTTGCCCGTCCCTCTCTCTTTTTCTTTCCCTGGTTCGTTCTTCTTTTTCGTCTCCTCTCTCTCTCTCTCTCTCTCGTTGCACGTTCTTTCCTTGAACCGAGATCTTTCGTCCTTCCCTATCCATCGGCGCGGCATATACAAGACCTCGAACAGTAAGGTTGTGTTTCCATCATCGTCGCGGTGCACGTTCTCTCATCGATTCGAATGACCGTGCTCGTAAATCCACCACGAATAGCTCGTGAAAGGTCGGGCTTCTACCGGTGAGTTCTCACCGTGATTTTCGCTTTTTTCATCTTATTTTTATTTCGTCAGCTGGAGTCTTTGTGCGGGTTCGCGTTCAAAAAGTCATTAAGAGCATCCGTCGTTCGGCATAATAATAATCATTGCGGTTGCACCTAATGAGTCGCGAAAGGAAGCTCCGATCGTTTCACCTTTAATGTCGATGCTCGCAAAATTGCTCTCTGCGGTTTGCAGAGAATGAGATATTCGTCTTGCATAATGGGAATTATTCCACGTAATACGCGTCGCCTTTATGACGTTCTGTCGCATTGAAAACAAGAAAAATCGTGAATCGCTCGTGAAAGGAAGGATATCTTCATTCCACACCTCACGTCTCGTTCTTCAATCGGAGAATTTTGTCGCAACTACCTCGAGAAATTAGCGGGGCTCTCGCGCATTGTAATTATCGATAAAAATCCGGCAGCTTGACAAAGAGAGAGAGAGAGAGAGAGAGAGAGAGAAAAAAAGAGGTATTCTCGTCCTTTCCCTCGTTGCGCGTCGTACAACAAAAGTGCAAGTGGAAACGCCGGGCGGGACTTTGTTGCACTCCTAACCCCTCTTCGCTGCTCCCTCCTCTTTCGTTCGCCGACTCCTCCTCGCATTCTCCGCATCCCCCCTCCTGCATTCTCCCCCTCCTCCCTCCCTGCCGCGCCCTCCGACCTCTCCCCTCTCGTCTGGGAGCTGCACGCTCACATGCAACGAGCCAGACCGGCCGGCTAGCGCTCAGTCGCCTTTAGCGCCGTGCATCTCCGAGTCAGTCAGTCATTGAGTCAGTCAGTCGGTGAATCGGGTCGTTCGGGTACGCGCGAGAGGTATCGCTGCTCTCTTTCTCTTTCCGCTGTGCAACTACTTTACACATTCTCTTTCTCTCGTCGTTTATTCGCATCCCTTCTTTCCTACCTCATTTGTCCTCTCTCTGCCCTCCTCTCTGACCGGGTCGCGTCACGAATTCTCTTTCCCTTCTTCCTCCCGCAGAAGTGCATCACCAAGTGCGCGATGGCTTTACTTTTCACGTCCTCGTGACGCGACAACAACGTCGGCGGCGAGACGAAAGCGCGTGGAATACCGTCGGCGCGACGCGAGGAAAGAATCCCACGGCGTTTGCCGGAATTTCAGATGGTTTCGACTTTTAAAAAGTGGGTGTATGCTTGTGTGATTGTGGTGCATCGCAATAGTGTAAAACCTGCCGTAAGCGTTTGTTTGCTCTCGAAATTCGAGAAGACCGCCCTTTCTCCCTCTCTCTCTCTGTTGGTGCAGCAAACAGAGCGATTTGTTGTCGTGTGAAATTAGCAACGAGAGACGTCGCGGCACCAAGATTCGCGCGGACTCCGAACTCTGCTGCCAAATCTCACGCGAACTCCTCTTCTCCCTTCCTCTCTGCTCGGACGTTGTGTTGCTTATTTTCGTCGCTGACGGCGCATCGCCGGCAAGGCGAAGGCTTCGTCAAGTTGGTTAACCCTTTCTTAACGTTGCACTCGGAGGAATTTTGCAATGACGCGGCATAGAGAGGCTAGATTTGTGCTCCCCGGGGTGTGTTTTCCGCCGCACATACACCAAGGGTCTACCAAGTTGCGAGTTTTCTTTTTTGTTTTCATCTTGCCATTCACAGCGACTGTCTTGTGAAACGAAAAATCGCAAATTAATGTAATAAAGATATTCGTCATCGTTTGTTTAATCCGCTTCCGAATTTACTGGTCTCACCAAATTTCGAAGTAAGAAAAGACCAACACTGTGAGCTTCTATTGGAAATTCATTTATTTATAATTCCGAGAGAGAACCTCGTAGTTTTCAATGAACCCTTGAATCAAAATTTTAGATTAAATCGAGACATCCTCGTGCTAACCAACAACACTAATCGCTGTTTGCTCGTGGTCACCTCTATATGGTGGAAATAAAAAACCCGAATAGAATCGGTTTGATAGATTATAATCGGATTTATCGGCAAGAAGAATAGCTCATCTCCCTACCTACCTACCTCGAAATATTCTCCACAAAGGTTGAACAATATTTTCCTTTTCCTCGAATTAATCGCTCGGTAAGTTAGCATCATACAAAGCATGCCCGAGACATGATGTAGTACGAGGCGTCGATCGATAAATCACCACCGTGCGTTTCCGATGAGTGTTTACGCGGTGCATCCCGGGGCCGGTGGCCGCATCCATGCTCGTCCTTCGGGAGAGTTTTCGCGACCTTCGCGGACCATCGCGAAGGCTGCGCGCGGCCGCCCGATGCCCTCGGCGACGCGAGAGATCGATAAACGGCGGCTTCAGCTGTGCGGCTATATGGCGACGGTGGCGGCCGGGTCGAGCGAGTCGCGAATTGACGAGGCAAGGCTCTTTTTTTCTTCCGATCGCGCACACTTTTCTCTAATATGCGGAAGTTTGTCTCGAAATAATCCCAAACTAAATTTAACGATCGCGACCGATGGCGCGAAAATAGCAGCTTACCGTACACAGAGAGAGAGAGAGAGAGAGAGAGCAAACGATATTGGTTGCGTCTCCGACGTAACTCCCGAAGCGCGTTCATCTTCTTTCTTCGCGTCAGGTTGTTTATTTCGATGGTAGTTGGAAACGATGTCGTTTAAAAGCTTGCTCAATCCGCGGCCCTGATCCGCCACTGACAGTCTTGCTGTGCCAAGAGTCATCGCCGCCAACGAATCGTCGTGCTTTCAGCGTGTCGGTGATCTTAGCAAGTGTCGTCACGTGCTATACTTGAACCCGTGTAACGACAGCGCAATGACTTCTCTAGCGGGGACATAGTGGCGTCTATTGCGCGACTGAATGCACGTGCCACGGAAATTCTATATTCCGTTCCGCCTCTTTTTTTTTACGATTACAATCTCTCATTTAACGATTAGTCGATTAGTCTCTTGAGAATAATATATCAAGATGAAAGAGATTTTCGTTCTATTAATTGAAAAAAATGGCCGACACAATTTCTTTTTCCTCTTTTTATCTTCCAATATCCCCCGAAAATTCCTCCGTGCACGACAGATGGTCTGGTGCAATACAAAACGCTCCTCGATTTACGAACGTTTGCGCGCGCATAACGATTCATCGTCGTCTGCTGTCTCTCGTCTGCTGTACGCGATTGTTTAACATTCAATAAACTGTCCCGCGCGCGCGGACAACAGCATACGTACGGGCTCTCATTGTGAAAAATCAATGCTCCGAGATGACACATAAAGTATCGGACGACGCGCGCTTGTTCACCATCAGTGTGTGAAATGCCCGAAATGCCGTGACATTCGTGACAACAAGCGAGCTCAAAAATTACGCTCAACGACGAGAATATCGGTTCAAAGTCCCGTTTTCGTCTATTATTATATTCACGTGAGGAACGACGGATTTTCGCGATATTTGGGAGAATCGAGACAATGTCCGCGTGTCGTGATGTGAACAAACGCGAAATTACGACGTAGAAAATTTTCTCGTTTTATCCGACGACCGTAAATATACATCACGTTTGTATAGAAATCATTCACGCGTGTAATACCGACTTATTCCGGTAACATAAATCCTCTCGCGCTATTCAGTGGACGAGAGCGATTCAATCGAGCAAATCTGCATCACATTGGCGGCGCATGAAAGAGATCGTGTCTATCGCGCGCGCGTCATGCGTAAAATACAGCGCCCCCTCCTCATATAACGGCGGCATATTTTTGTCGTTGACCCGTGCAGAATTAACGTGCCGATCAATATCCCCTCTCTATAATAACGTTCATCGATCATGCCCGCCTGCGTCACTCTATCTCAGTGAGTGAACGTGTTGATAATGCGAGAGAGGATTTTTCTCTCGGGATTTCATCGTATGTCATTCGATCGGAATGCAATACAAGAAAATTTGGATATCTGTCTTGATTGCAAAGTTAGATATTTCTCGGTTGATTCGATCGGCAATATTTGTAATTCGAAATATCGCATCTCGTCCGTTTGATTCATCGCGCAGCTTTCATACAGCACCCGGTACATATCGATCCGCCTATAGCGTGGGCGCAGTCTTGGCGTTAACCTTGAACTTTAACCTCGGGGCATTAACGATTGTCGCGCGATCTGGCCGCCCACGATCGAACAAACGCACGAGGAAGGATCGGCCACCTGCTTTCGATGCAATTGTCGGGAATTAGCAAGGACCCTTGGTCGTGCATTTCGCGCGTTACGTAAGCGCGTCCGGCCGAGCGCATTTCCTGCGCGCGCGTCAAGGTCGTCGCGAAACGATCGGTTTATTTCGAGAAACTGTATAAAAGCCGACGATAAATATTTTTAGAGAGCCCCTTGTCGACGCGAAGCGCTTTTAGCTGTCTGGAACAACAGTTCGCTTTTTATAATAAACCCTTACGAGCGCATCTCAAAAATATCGCACCTGTCGGCCGACTTTTGCGCGAGCGAATGATCGTCTGCGGGGGAGGGCATTCCCGTGGGACGACCGTGCGGCGACCTCACGAAAGGGCTTTCTCTTAAACGCGCAAAATACGACCGTCTGCGGACTTTTGATCTTCGCCGCCCCCACTCTTGCCTTTCTGCAGTTTCATTCGCGCGAGTCCACATTGCCCCGAAAGAGTTACGCTTTCAACCGCTTTTACATGCAGCGAGCATTACTCGAGCAACGCGCAAATACGAGTGCGCATTAATCGATCCGATAATTTGATCGATGAAGAAAGACGGGCCACGGTAAAAATTCAAGCGCTGCCTACACCCGTGACTAATTGCACGCGTCACGCTTGCCACACTTAAGGCGATGTTTCTCGAATATATTCGTCGAGATCATCCGTCCGACCAATCGCGCGACCACTTTAAACACGTTGGATTCGGCAAGATGAAAAATAATTATTATGCCTTCGATAAGTTCAAAACCGCAGAATGCGGTAAACGGCGATAAAAGTCGAGGGATAACTCACCGAAATCGGAATAAATCGCGCATTTATCAACGCTCTCTTTCTTGTCGCCGTTGTCATAATGCGTGATTTGTGACACAAGGGAGTGTATGTTTACAAGCTACTTATCGGTAAACGTCATGGGATTCGAACATTTTCAACGTAGGATACTTCTCGCGTCCGCTAGAATTGCGCCGCCTTCCCGCTCCTGAAATATCACTCTTCTAACCGTAGAGAATAGTAAAATAACTGCGGTCGATCACTAACGTACCAAAGAAGTGCAGTGTGAGCAACCATACCAAATCGATTACCAAAAGAAGGAGCGGCAGGTGGACCAGTAGAAGACGAAATGACGCGACAGGCTTCCGCTTGAGAGAAATAAATTACGACGGGGTGGTTGGTGTGTTTCCGGGGGTGTAGGGGAAGAAAGAAACTGTGAAAGAGAGAGAGTCGTTGAACAAATCGGTTCACGGTGACGAGTGAAAGTAGAACGGGCAAGCCGAGCAAGATGATGAAGAAGGAGAAACCGATGATGTCGGTGACGGCCATCATCCAGGGGACTCAGGCCCAACATTGGGCACGCGGCAACACCTGTACGTATGTCTATATATTTATCCGTTATCGCGATCATCGGACTACTTGTCGACGAGAGATCCGCCGGAAAATTTGTTTCATCGAAATATCCGACTAATCTCCATTCACACGATATGAAAATGTTCCGGTCTATTATTGCGATATTTTTCATTCGTTTGTATCAATAACACGCTCGTTATAAACGTTATCATCATCGAAATATCCTTCTCGATGAACTAAAGTGTCTTGAAAGTATGTAATGAGGAGTCTCTGTGCGAGATTTCGTGTATTAAATAGCCATTTTATTATCGTTGCGCGCACACACACACACGATCGATCGACCTCACTCGTCGAGTTTCTCTGTCTGTCTAATTAAGATTAGTTAGTGAGTCATGTCGAATGAAATCGGGAAAGTCCGCACGCATCTTTTCGCGTTGAGTTTTCATAAATATATAAGAACGCTTGAGTATTTCGCAATACTCGGAACCAATTAACATATGATTATACGCAAAGCGTATACTTGGGCGATGCGCTACTTGTTAGAGGTAATTTGATATTGACGAGATTAGTGACAATGTGATCACCGACGCGCACAATTCGATTCCATTGCTCTCACGAGCAATTTAGAAACGATACCGTTTCATACAGCACGTCGCGCACGCACCCGATTGTTGTTCGTTCGAATTAAAGTGATATTTCTACGATGATGGCGTTTCAGTCACATAATAAGGACATTGCATCGAATCTAAACGAGATAAACGATTTTAATTATTACTTCCTAGCACAATAATGTAACTTTGACCCTTTTTAGCCTATCGCTCCTGTTGCGGTAAAATGTTGTAATTTATAATGAAGGGAAATGTTTTGGTCCAAATCAAATTGGTCGTCGAAAAATGCGATTTTCTGAATGTACGTGATTGTGTAAATTATAAAACTTGCTTATAACAGTCGTTGAAGAAGATGAGACAAAATAAATAGAATATACTGAGATTTTTGCACAAACAACTTGATCCGAGCGTCTACATGTATCTTTAGCTAGGAAGGCACTATTTTACGAAGGGAATATAGCTTTATTTATGGTTGGATTGATAATATTATCAACGGACGAAGTCAATTATTATGTAAATTATTATGTAATTATTATGTAAAGGCTTTGATAGAATAACGTGGGATAATTAGCGCGGCCAACGATTAATGCGATTTCCATGGTTCGGTATCCCTGTGTGAGATTAATTACATTGGCGAAATTTGTATTTCCACGACTAGTTCTTGTTCTCACCGATGAATTTTCGCGAGAAGGAAACTGACAATCGAAGATGTGGTGTATATATCACGTTGCTCTCAGATTACTGTGTGTACCGCGCGCCAGCGTCGTCGTCGTTGTAGCCGTCGTACACCAAGTGAGTCACCCAGTTTGCGATAGGCCGTCCTGTAGGCGACCGATAGGCGCGTACATGCATCGTATGTGGATGCTAAATGCACGGGGTGAAGGTCGGCTATTGAGACGTGAATGGCGCAATTTGCGGCGGCGGCGGCGGCGAACGAACGAACGAGCGAGCGAGTCAGCCAGCCAGGGAACGACGCGCTCGTTATCAGTCGCCGGCTCTAAAAGCGGTGGCTCGGGGAGCGGGTTTTAAGCGCGAACGCAACGCCGCGAAGGTCACGCGAATGCGCCTCGTTATCAACGCCCCTGGACGCAATTTACGAGCATTTTCGAGTCTTATCGCATATGTCCCTATTGCATCGAAACATTCATCGGAATTGCCAACACGGAAACTTTTCGCGTAAACACGTCAAGTCGCGAGAAGAATTGATATCGCTAACCGCGCGCGAAATCGGGAACTGACCTGCCGCGACGAAATCGCGCTTTATCCAACAACGTGCCCTCCGATAACGGCCTATCGGGATATTTTGCAGCAAAAATAGATCGAACCTCGCGGAAGTATCGTGAGATACCGCGTTATCACTTCCCTCCTTATTATTGAATTACTTGTTGGATGTGTTCGATTGAAATTCAACCGAATTACAATGCAAACATGAGATAATCAGACGAAAATTCATGGTCACGGACTTGACGATCGGACAGCTGTCTCAGCGCGCGCTCGGTGTTTGTCGAGTGGGAATAAAAGACTGGGTTATCGATAAGCAGCACACCGTGGCGATGCTCCGTTATCGTCTTATGCGTTTTCACGCCGATACGGTGATAAAAAGATAGCATCTCCGGTGCTATCTCTTTAAAACATAGAATGGATTCACCGTTAAATTGTCTCGTTGATTTTCAAACTCTCTTAGCGAGAGAAGAATCGTGTCTCAAGGATAAATAATATTAAGAACTCAACGGATTGCGCAAGTCTGTCGTTTTTTTTTTTTTTTTTTTTTTTNAATCAGCCGACGCTAATTAGGAAGGAACGATGTTGCTGACGATCGTGGCTGATTACGTATTCATTGATACGCGATCGGGGTACTACTTTACGAGGTCGGACTTTGTCGTCTGCCACGGCAGCCGCGTCGTCGCCCACAAATTGCGGCATAGTTTCGATATGATAGACGACATCTTTGTCTCAGAACGAAGGGAGATTATCACGTCGCGTTGTGTCACATTTCGATGGTATTTTTCTAATAAACCATATTATTCTAAGAATAATATATAACGCAAGCCAAATTTATGTTAATTCGCGCGATATTGTTTGATTCATAATTAAATATTTAGATAATTTCCTGACGTGAATTCGCGAATATTATGGAGCACCGTGCTACACTGATAGTTATACCGCTTTTGGACGATTGAGTTAGTCTCACGCGTTCAAGGCGCGTGTTGATCCAGGCTTGCTGCGCAACGCTTGCCGCCAGATGATAGATGATTCGCAGGGAATTATTTCTTCCACTGCGTAAATCCTTTGCTCAGCCTAGACCCCTGCCTTTCCACATTGTCGCACACGTGTTTACGTAGGCGCACGACCGTGCAACTCGTTCGGATGCACACGACGCAACCTTGGCACCGATGGGAACGAGCCGTGAAGTGCAGATCCGCGCATCGCGGTCTGTCCAAACGGGAGGAGGAAATATATATTTATTACACGACCGAAAAACGATTTCCCTTCTCCTCGACGAAGAAAGAATTTGCACGCAATTGTTTCGTACAAAAGGTATTCCGAAATGATTTTTTACTCTTCGTGTGTAAACGTCGCGTGACGATTCGACGGAAGTACCTCGTCGCGAGCACGAAAAGGCATCGCGCAGAAGGAAGCGATCGTTTATTACAGTCACGTTGGCAGGTCTCTCGCGTCGTGTGACCGAATAGATATTTCTATTACGCGCGTTCGTTATCCTATCAGCATCGTGCGCGCACGTGTCTCGATCGAACATGTTGAGATATTTGTTATCCCATTCAACACACGCAAATCCCTTTTCAAATATAATACTGAAAACAATCATCCGTAACGACTTGTCGAATGATTATCTTACATGAGTGGAAAGCATCTCGAATGTTTGAAAAAAATCGTTGAAATAGTCTACTACTTTGAAAGAAAAAAAATCTTTTCACGTGCAAAGAATCGCGTTGTTAACGCGATCCGATCTCGGCAAACCTAAGAAAATGAATCTATGTCGGGATTCTAGGACGAGCGTTAAAATAGGACTTGCGACGGTGGGGAGATATGCCGAAATTTTCTGCACGCTCTTATACGATACCTTGTGGTTACGCGGGGATCGCATATATACACTTCGATCGTTTTGAGGAGAAAAGCTCGGTTTAACCGGCCGAACGAATGGAGAGATAGCGTAGAAGCCTTCCTGTTGCTCCTCAGACAGTGGTTGACGAGCTGCGCATTCTCTCGCTATGTATTCTTTCCTAGCAACTGATTGCGGTAATTATCTTACCTCTTTTTTTTTTTTCTTTATTTACGCTTACGGACGTTCGTCCGTTCCATTAATTCATCGCGCGTCAGTACGCGGCGCGTCCGCCTGAAAGCGATCACCCGAGTTGGAAACTTTGGACAAAACGTCCGGCCGACAGCCGGAAGGAAGGAAAAATAACGAAAACGCGGGATCGACAAACGTTGATTGCACTGTCAGACGCGTGTTGCAGCTGCAAACACAACGGCTGTCGTCGTACGGCCAATCGCGAGAGCTCGTCGGTCGCTGTCGATACCTCATTCGCTTGCAAAGTGAAACAACAAGCCGATTCTACCGACATTAATCAATTTCTCGAAAACAAAGAAGCGCGCGTGAAAAGTAATTTTCGAGAGAAGTAGTGTGGAGAAGAGAGAGTCCTGGCCAAAATATTCCTTACGAGACGATTGATAATACAGCCGCGGTAATTTCCGAGACAATTAGCGGGCCTTCATTAGCACATGGATGCTTGCCGCACAGTCGTGCGAAGACAATGCTTGTTTTCGAAAGATACGTGACTAACGACCTTTTTACCTTCTTCTTATCTTGGACGAGCGTCTCTAGCTACGTTACATAAGATTTAACTTGGTTAGCGCGAAACCATCGTCCGCGAAGAGAACGTCCGCGAGCAGGCGGAAGAGGATGAGAGGAAGAAGGGGAGGTTTCTCGCGATGTGTCAGCGAACGAGAAAGAGAGGAGGGGGGGGGGGGACCTTGAAACTGGCATTCGTTCTGGTGTATTTTCGGTTTCATCTTTGATCGTCGCTTAAAAATCGCATCATCTCGTTCGAGAAGGCTACTAAATACTACGCGAAAACAGGAACCGTCGTTTCGTTGCGAGGCTTATTCTCCGTGCTTTTCCAACTATCGTGAAGCGTTACCGACTATGTCATCCCACTCATCTCATCGACAGCTTAACAGCTCTTGTTTACACGCCGGACAATAATTTAAGGGCGGTGTTGTTTTTTTTTTTTTTTTCGCAAAGTACCACCACACGAGGCTTTCTATTTAAAGTCTCAACGAGCGAGTTATATTTTTGTTACTCTGCCGAGAGAAAATATCAATTCACAATGCGCGCGAGGGGTTAATGTCGGCGATCTTGCCCGCAGATATCACGCTGATCGTGCTTT